GAGTATAGCGTGCATAGATGTTTGGACAATGATTATTGTCCAGGGTCTATGACAGCGTAACTCGTGCCACCCCTCGCCGCTTTACATCTGCTTTGTCTCTAGTAGTATATAGGTTAAGGGCTCGCAGCCCAGGATCCTCGTCCCCTCGCCCTTCGGGAGCTCGCGCTCCTCGAGCTTTCGTTTTTGCACCCACCCTTCCGCTGCCCCATTTTTGGTCTCGCTTAGCTACGTCTCATGTATCAGGTACATTCGCCTTCCGCCGGCTTGAGCTCGGCCCACCGGTCGCGCGAGAGAGCGGTGGCGACACGGACTCGGTGGTCCCGCGCAGCTTCCGTAGCGCGCGCCCAATACCATCGTTTTCCGTCCTGCCCGAGTATAGCGTGCATAGAACAGTGCTTTGCAAAAAAGATTGCAGACCGAAGCGCGCAAAATCCGGTTTGGCCCTGTTTAGCCACCCGGGGAAACGGCTGCGAGATACCGGAAGCCTCTTTGCAACATGGTCAATGATTCAGCTACAATCCTACCCAGAACGTCAGTTTTCCAGTATGGTTGCACCGTGGTTAAGCCGTGTATGGCGCCGCAGTGTATCGGCTCACCTACGCGTCGAAGTTTGTGCTTTGCGAGTATTCCCGAGAAATTTCGCTTACAGGTACTTACGTCCAAGCGCGCCTCCGGAGGCTTATCGTCGTGCTCCCCATGCGCGTCGCACCGGGGGATCTAAACGTTATCGAAGTACTCTGAGTTACCTCAATCGTTCTCAAACTATCACCAAGACGTCTTTGGGTCACTTTCACCTCAATATGAGAGCCGTGAGGCCGTTAGCGCTTCTGGAGTTATTTTCGCTTAAAGAAAGTTTGGGCGTTTGCCACACCACAAATGTTTGCCGACAATCGTGATGCACACCGCGGCGCCATACACGGCTTGACCGCGGCGCAACCATAAGTACTGGAAATCTAACGTTCCCATCCTACCGGAGATACTCGGAATGTTGTATTGTGGAGGCAAAAAACATGGTTGTGCATTTTAGCAGCAGAAAACGGGGCTCAGACTCAAGCACCGTCTTGTCGAACGGAGCCCTTGTGAGCGCCCCGGTATCCGAAACAGGAATTCTCTCCGTAGCCGACGGAGGACAAAACAGGGACAAGCAAAATCCTCCCGCTTCGGTCTGCAATCTTTTTTGCAAAGCACTGTAGAGTTATTCTAACCAATAATTAAGTACCACAAGGGTACTGGAATCAAGTTCGGGCCTTGGCTTGCCGAGACGCCGTAGTAGATGCCTAAAGTGGCAAGTCATCCGGTCCCTTTCTGATGTAGATGTAGTATACAGGACTGTACGACAACGAAACAAAGACGATATTAACACATACAGTATTGTAACGACAGAACCCCGATCCGAAGCAAAAACAGATGTAAGAGACGAATTGCACCCAGGGACAATAAGATAACGAGACTCAAACATCGTCCAACGTCAAGTCGATCACCCCACCATCGTCCCCGTGCTTCAATCCAGCTGAGGGCGAGGCTCCTGGCTCCCGCTTCACGCGTCCACAATTCTTCTGGGCGATCGCTTTGTTGTACTGACTTTGGGCCCGCTTGAGACGGTTCTGCAAAACGTGTCCGCGATGTCAGCGTTGCTTCAATGAAGCACACGGAACATTGACCCGAGCCAGTACTATCTCCTCGTCTTCCTCACCGTCGGAGATCTCGACGACGCCTAGATCCAACTTGGCACCAGCTCCCGACCTCGGCTGAACTCGGGCGCGCTTTGCATTGCGTCTATCCGGAGAACCCGCACGTTTCTTCTCCTGCTTCACGCGCGATGGGCCCGCCTCTGGCTTGATTGGCTTGTCTCGAGGTGCGATGCCCTGCGCTTCCAGGAGATCTGCATCCACAGCAGCAATCAATCGGATGCTGTAGGCTAGAAAGACAGGACATACCACGAGGTTTGTAACGGAAGACAAACGTCGCAACAAAGCCCTCGCAGGGATCGATCGCGTCGTGCATCCACATTTGTGTGAACGGCTGCACCACCAAATTGCCGCCCAATCTGAAGTACAAGCGTCCCCAGGGTCGAGCCCCGCTCAGGATCCGGGACAGCTGGGAATGAGCCGGACCAACGACTCGACGCACCCCACACTATGTGCGCCAGCCTTTTTGCTCCGCTCGTGCACCGCTTCCACACTCTTGAACGAATCGACGACGGCAGCTACTGGACGCCCCTCCGCAAACACACGCTTTACTTTCACCTCGATCGACCCAACGTCTGCCTGTTTTGCTAACCCGCTCAGCAAGTCATCGTCGTCTATTCAGTGCCCGGCAGTCGCTGGTCAGTGCCTGGATCTCAAGTACAATGCGGTAAATTCGGTAAATTCCGACGCACCCGTCGTCTTCAGGTCAGCAAAATGGAACGGCTGCTCAACATTGAGCCCGGTCCGGACGCCGTTCTTGCTCCCGGTCTGTAACGCGCTGCAGAGCGCACCGTGGCCGAGCTTGTGCCCGTCCACCTTGAACGCGAGGGAGATGCAGTCATTTCCTCCATTTCTGAACTGAATTGCAAACGTCTACAAGCGTTGGGAATGAGAGACGCGAAGGAGGGTGGTGGGAAGGGGTAGGGTTGAGTACTGTTGTTCGCGTATGGGACCAACGTACCGTGCTCCTTCGATGCGCCGGCAATCGTCGGAGGGAGTACCGGCCGAGCACTCGGATATTCACCTTTCCCCTTTCACTAGGCATAAAGCAGCCCACAGTCTTGCCATCGCCGCCCTCAGGCGCTATGCCATACTCGGGCAGCTTCTCTCCTTCGCAGGTGACCCAGGCCTCGTACCCGTTAAGAAGCATGCCTACTTGCCCGTCAGTTCTTCAGTATAGAGTGCTTGAGGTAGAGATGGAGGGGGCTGGTGGCAACAATGTATCGGTGTCAGTCAAATGACAGAAAGGAGCAAAGGAGTGTACCTGGTTATTGAGCGCCGAATAATTATGTATCGCGTCACGCTCGACGCGTCCGACTCCTATGTACGCGACCGCGTCGTCCGGAAGCGCGCAATACTGGTATCCTCCGCTCCTTACTCTCCACGACTCGAGTGCTATCATTGCAAAACGTACTTATCGAGACAGGGCTAACCTGAAGGCCGCTCGTCTTCTGCGACATTCTCAGAAGACTTCCATCCCGCCCCATTAGAGTTGTTCTGAACGCATTATCTCACGGCATTGGACCTAGTTCATCTCAGCATTGCGTGGAGCGCTCCACACTTACCCTGTCCAGGCGCTCGCGCTTCCCAGCGAAGGCAAGGTCAGCCCTGCACGGAAACACGAGGCCACTTCTGTCGCACTATCAGGTAGAGTAAGAGTAGGTTTGTCTCCTGGCCCCCTGCAAGAACCGTGCGAGCGAGCGAGGGGCAGTTACTTACGATGCCGACCTCGGGGTGAGCGCGTATAACCTGTTCGGGTGAGTCAAGGTATCTGTTATAAGATCTACATTGGGAGCGCTGACAAATGACAAATGTGTGATTATTGTTTTTCAGAACAACTCTATTCGAGCACCCTGAAGCGATCCGCATCCAGCGATGTCTCGGCGTCCATGACAACCAATTTCGCCCAATTAACCTCCCCAACACGCTCACGAGCGGCGGCCCACCGGTCACCCTCAGCAGCAGCAACCCCAAGGAAGAGCATCATGGCGCGCGTCACGATGTCCAGGGCAAGCACCACCTCCAGCTCAGCCGCCTGCGCATAACTTACACGCTTTGCGGGAGGAAGCGCAGCGCGACGTACGGCTGCTTCGACAGGGCAGGCAGCCAGTACGTGATGAAGTCGTTCCGTGCAGTCGTTTGCAATGCGAGCCTCTTGAGCACATTGTGTACGAGAGGAGATCCTTGAAGGGGAGGAGCACGGCGGTGGACGAGCCGGGAGAGAGCGAGGGGTTAGCGGGGTCAAAGTACTCGGCACAGCCCGGGTCCGTTCCCGATCCGTTGCCGAGTTTGCTGTGGCGTTCACCTCGCGCTGCGCGAAGGCTTCCCAGAAGAGGTAGGATAGCTCGAAGTTCGAGCCCTTCTCAACGAGCCACCCGTCCGGACTGGCTGAGACGTTCCAGGTGATGCTTTGTCCTCCACCATCCTGTGGCTTCGGTTGCGATGCAGGGTAGATATGTCTAAACGACCACTGAGGAATCAGCCGCAGGGATACGGTGGCTTCTGGCAGTGGCTCGGAGGCAGGAGATAGATGTCCGGCTTGCGGCAGAACATCATATGCCTCGTAGCGCGCCCATGGCCAAATTTTCATCTGGGCCGAACCTTGGCTCGGACCTGCGGCTGGCTGTGCACTGTGTCAAACAGGGATGTCTCAAGTAAGTGTTTGCTGCGCACAGTACTCAGGAAGCAGCGTCGCTCACGGGACCTTAAAGGAGCCAGCTATTACTACATATCTCAGTCCCTTGCGACGGAGGTGGCGGCGGTGGCGCACCCGCCGTTGTCACGACAGCGGCTCCGGACTCAGACGGCTCCGACTTCAAGACCGTTTTGCGTTCGTCGTCGTTTTCGTCGTCGGAGTCTTCGCACTAGGGCAGCTTCTCGAGAGTGAGGGTGTGTTGCCCCGAAACATGCTTTAGCAGGTCGTCCGTCACTCCGACGTTCTGGCCGGCCACCCCCCCGAGGAGGACGAGCCGCTCCGAGTCAATGTGTCCGAGGCGGAAGTGCCGGCTTGCTTCCCCAAGTTCCTGTGGCGCACGTCGGCATGACGATTCATCTTGAATTTGTGGGATGATACGTTGAAACTGACCTCCAGACCGCTGCCTCCAAACGCTGCCGTGCGCGAACGCCACTTGATCCGGATGAGGACACTTTTGGAGGGTCTGCTCCTACTTATGATAACGAACGGGTCTGTGTCCGATGTGTGCGACAGACCGGGCGTTGGTGAATGTCAGTCACTCATGGTGGCGATGTCCTCGATTTGATCGGCCACCATCCTTGTGTGCAAGTGCGCGCCGTATAACACAATAGACACTGTCATCAGACCAATATATGCGGGGCTCCCTTGTCCAGAAGCACAATTTACATCATGTTGCTATCTAGACGACAACCAGCTCTCCCTTCTACAAGTAGTTCAAGATAACGCCTGAGCGACTCCCTAAGCAGCCCCGGATCTGCACGCTTGTTCGCAGACCAATCGCCGTCACACTCCCCCCCCCACTCTCCAGACGCCATGCAGCTCCAGCTTACAAACCGTTGCCCCGCTTTGCTCTAGATAGGCAGCAAGGTTACCTCCAACGTCATCCACTGCAGTTACCAACCGGTCCGTCTCCTCCTTCGACCTTAAGACGAAGACGGTCCAGGCGAGGGTGATGTTGCCCACAGACACAGCATCGGGGACCCTGCCGCGTTCCGGGTTCTAGGGGAGATCTCCAGTCGGGCGAGGCGAGCATGGTATTCCAGGCTGCCGAACAGATCACTTGGCGATTGCGGGTGGTGTGAATACGCGTCGACGGCCACCACAGAAGGGAAGGCGGCGCCGCTGCATGCAGTCCTGAAGCATGCATTCGACGTGCTTCGCGAACGAGACGGCTGATGTGTCCACGTGAAAGCGAGCGTTGTAGCCCATGTCATCAGGTCTGATGTCCTTGAGCTCCATACGGTCGAACGGGCGAGACGCAACTCATTGGGCGTGGTTTGACCTGAGTAAGGCGTGCCAGACACAATCGCGAAGGCAGCCGTCCCAACTTTGTTCGTGCCGTTGTAAACGAACAAACGCAGTGCTTGGAAAGACGAGCGAGTCAAGTAGCTGCCTGAACCCGATCTCTAAGAAAATGCGGGTTGTGACCAGGGCGAGATAACGCAAGTGTGGGAGGTTAACAGACCTTAGCGACAGGACCTGCGAGTCGTCTCCTATATTTATGAGCACCAGCGAGGTAAGCCTCCCACAGGAGTGTAGTATACTCGTAACGCCACGATAATTGCCGTGCTCCCCGTCCAACACAAGAATTTCGAGAGAGCTAGTCGAGCATGCAGGGTGCAGCAAGGTGGCGGCGATCTAGAGGTAACGCAAGACCGGGAGGTTAGCATCCGTGTACGATCAGGAGACTTATTGAGTATGTAAACGGGGGTTGCGGAAGTTGTTACTTTGAGCCTGGTCAGATGATGCATGCCGGCGAGCACAGAAGAGTCGTCAGGTGACGTAGATCGGAGGAAGTACCATCAAAGGACTGGATCTCCAAATCGCCTATTTCTCGAGCACAACGGTCCTTCAGAGCACCACAGATTCGTCGTCCCGAGGGTACCTGATGGAGATGGAAAGGCGCACCGCGGAGCGGCTATACGTGGGACACTGACAGCTCGACTCGGAGGGCGCGCAACAGTCGACGACGATGCTGGCCACTGTGCTCACCCAAATCTCCGGCATAGCGCGAAAGATAAATCTCTAGCGACGGCCAACGCTAAGATTCGGAGTCTCACTACGAACTTGGCATACCATGCCGAATATCTTCGTTGGTATTTCTGTCAGAAGATTGTGGATGGACGATATCGCGTCGTTGTGCAAGAATTTGAAAACAACGATCTTCTCCTGGAGCTCAGCGACGCGTCCTTCATTGTCCTTGAGAGTCTCAGACGCCTTGCCGGGGATCTCTTCACGACGAAGCTTCCGGAGAGTGGTCTAGTCCTTCGTGGACAACGAGGCAGAAAGCTGGGGATACGGGAGGCCGTCGCCGTCGAGGCGATCGTGAGCGGATTGCATCCTATCCTGGAGTTTGGAGAGCTGGCAAACACTTTGAATCGACATGCTAGATCACGGATGGAACCGACAAGCAGTGGGGAAATCACCAACCCTAAGGCTATTACAGGTGAGTCGGAAGCAGAAGCGCCGTCGTTGTGGCGTGCAGGGCGTCGGGTTTGACCGGCGTGGCTAGGTCCTAGCGCCTGTCACTGCGTCCGAACACCTTCGGTTCCTACAATCTGCTCGCAATGAATTCTCACTGCATTTCACAGACTATGCACCACTGTTGCGACCGGTCTCCTTCCACCCTCAACTAGCGGCCGGTGCTGTACGACGCCTCCAGCTGGTCGCCATATCTTCACCACAGCCGCATGTCATGATAGCCACGCCGCGTTGATTGCTCGGCAGGAGTAGAAGCACTGAGCGGCGCAGGTGAGTGATTGCACTTAGAGCTTCGACCAATATATTGTTGTTATCGTGTAGCGCACGCGTCGGATACGTCCGTCTGGCGTGAGGAACAGCAGCTAAGTACATATCTTGCATACAGTAGATGGGCAAGCGGGGGCCCTGGTGTCATGAGACGCATGCACCGCATGCGCAGGCACATGGTAACTCTGACTGCGCATACGCCTACGTAGGGCTTTGTGATTTTCCGAAAATCACCATGGTCTGGGTATTACGCGTTTCCAACGGCTCATGTCGAAATCGTCTAGCCTTTCACCAGCTTTCAGCGCGGCGTCCGGGCACTCGAATGGTCCTTGCGTGCATGCACACGTAGGTGATCTCTCGGGTCCGACGGCGAATTCTAGACCACGCCACAGCAAGTTGTATTTAAACTTTGTTTTGTGTAGACCGAGTTGCTTCCCATAAAGACGACAACTGTTCGGCCACATCGTTCAGCCTGCCCGGTGATCCGGGGAACCTCTGGTTCGCAGACTTGTTCTGTTTTTGCATTGATTCAGTGGGACGCCGGACGAGAATGCTGATTAGCTTATACAGCTCCCTCATTGCGACCCGGCCAGGGGGAGCAAGCTGGACTCCGGAGCAGTTGCCCTGGCGCTTAACGAGTGCTTGCGCCGATACCGGGGAAAATCTGCCGGGATTCTGAGCAAAGGAGGCTTGATCCGAATCCGAGTCGAGTCCGAACCCGGCCCAGGGGCAGGAACTCAGAATGAAGCGCCCGGCTGAACACAACCACCACAGAGCGCCTTTCCGGCCAAACCGATATCGCCCTCGTAAGGCGGTGATTAACCGGGTGAACGTTGTACCCCGCACGACTTTTCATGTGGCACTCCGCGATTCTAGTTTCGCGCTCAGTCGTGCAGGCTTGGGGTACATGTGTAAGCCCCCCACACCAGCACTGGCACCTGTATCTGTGCCTCGTCGCTCGTGTCGCTTAGTAGTATCGTGCGTTGTACTCAGCTATATCCAAGCTGGCACTGTACCTACTTACAAAAGCCACGCCGGGAAACTTTCACGGTGAGTGGTCGTGCATCGTCCTTATCAACCTCTCGCTTCTGACAGTATTCCGCAATCGGTCTTGGGCCTGTGGCGTGCCCAGCTAGTGCACCGGCATACGACCGCAAACCGCGACATTTTCTTCGAAAATCCTCGTGACATTCGGTCGGTGATCGATCGCCTTCTGTCAGTCGTCCATTTCGTGCCTGCCGACAGTCAAGAGAGAGCGTACATGGCTGGCAATACTCCAACGGTCTTAAGGGCTGATCGCCTCGACATACTGGATCCGATCAACGCCTCCCCCTCTCCCCTGGCAGTCAACATGTTGAGTCCTTTGAATGACGACTTAGCAGCATTGATTGGCTTCGGGAGCGAGTCCGCGCTCTGGGGTATGCCACGTTCCTTGGATCTCGTGCTGACCTCATACTGAGTATCGTTTCCTCGACATTCAGGCATCAACACCATCCTATTCTTCGTGTCGATCGTGCTACTGCGTACGCGGAGAGAAGCGAGCCACTTGTCGCGACCTGTTGTCCTCGCCCATTGTGCACTGTTCATCTTGTGCACTGTCCATTGGGCGCTGGAGTTCTATCATTTCGTTACGACTTTGGTACGTTCACAACGTGATCCTCGCGCTGAGCGGTGCTTAACCCAAGCTCTCAGGCCACGACCGGTGTCCAAGGATACGCGAGGGAAACATCGCAGCTTGTGGCCGCCGACATCTTCATCTCGCTATGTGACCTTCTCGGAGACTACATCCTGATCTATCGTTTGTGGGTCATATGGGGGAGGAACTGGTGGATCATCCTGCTTCCGTCCCTGTGCGCTGTTGCTGGTTTCGGTGAGTGATCTTCCCGCGACAGCCCTTTCGTCCCTCTCAACCGGCGTATGTATCAGCGTGCATCATGGAGGTCGTCCACTTCGTTGTCACGGAAGACCCGAGTTCGCCTGCGCCGCCCGCCGAGACGCTGTCAATCACCATCGCCGGCTACGCACTCCCCTTGTGCACTAACGCGATCGCTACCGGTCTTATCATCGGGAAGATCTGGTGGATGGCGCGCCCGACGCCTGGTGTGGACACTTCTCACTTTGCCGGACGCAGCATCGCGCGGAGCGCGATAGCGACCATCGTCGAGAGCGGTGCGCTGTACTTCGCCGCCCAGCTCACTTACGTCGTCACGGTCGCGATTCCCCACCCGTCCGAGGGCATCATCGCTGTGATGGCGTTGCAGATTTACGTACGTCTCCTCACGCCGCTCCCTCCGTTGACCTGTTGTGGGCGCATCGACTGACGTGTTCCCTCAGGGTATCGCGCCGACGCTGATTATTATCCGTGTCATGCTCGGACTCACCGTAGAGTCTTCACTACTGTCGACCAAACCAAATACGGTGACGCCCGTGGTATGGACTTCGACAACTCGATATACCGTGCAGGATGGTCCCATGAAGTACGGCGTCTCCTTGGGCAACGGCGCCAACGGGGATAGGGGCACGAAGGGCTATCCCTCCGATGGCGACGAGTCCTTGGAGATGAAGCCTCTACCGGACGATGGGTTCGCTGCGTGAGCGGTTATTCTTATTTGTAGTATAAATTCAAAAGGGGGAAGAGTGTACCATACGGATTTTCATTGGGTGTAGATCGTCATTCCTTGTTGTACTCGAAATATAACACGACCCGGTGACCTGACCGTGGAGGCTCCAAAACTAATACATAGTCATATACACTGTCGTTTTGTGGCACGACTTAAATCAATTTCGAGCGAGAAGGTGACGTCAATCTCAATCAATTCTGAAGACTGCCCGACCGGGCGGTACCAAGGACTCTGAAACAATTCCCCAAGCAGACATTGGGACGATAGATCACACCAACTGAACGGATGAGGACAACCTGCAGGAAGCCACCGGCAAGAACCGCGCCTGCGCTTCTCCAGCGCTCGTGCTGTAACAAATGCGCCGTCCCCACCGGCGTCATCGCAGACAAACTGCCTCTATACCTACTGCGATCGCTCGAGGATGCTCGCCCGACAGATAGCCAGACAACAGGCTGTCAAGGCCAGAAAACACGTTGTTCCTACTGCGAGAACGCCGCCACATCTAACTGTAGCGGCCTCGCGTCGGTGCTACGCAACGAACCCCGCCTCGTCGTGGCTGCAGTCCAACTCGCGCATCTCGACGGTCTTTGGCATCCTCATGGGCGTCGGTATCGCGTCGACCGCATATGGGCTGTGGGTCTGGCCAGTGCATCTACCGTACGTGCTCTTGAGCTGAGTCTGCGCGCGTTGGTTATGAAGGTACCAGTTCTACACCACGTTCACGACGTGGCCGCCAGAAGTGCGCGGGGACCTCCGAGCAGGCATCAAGGCGAAGAACCAAGGTGACTTAGAGCTGAGCGAAAGGTACATTCGTCGGTATGTTTTTCTCGTTTTCCCTCTCTCGGCATGTCTGATGTGTGCGCGACGTCCTTAGAGCATGGAAGACGGCGCAAACCCTTCCTATCTCCGCGTTCACCTCCGAGCCATACCTCAAACTCTCTGGGATAGCGGTTGCCCTCGCTGAAGTCCTGGAGGCGTCCAATCGCCCATTCGACGCTTACGAGACGTACTCCATCGCCTTGGCGCAGCTCCGGGCGGCGCAAGCGACGAAGAAGCTGTCCGGGCGGGAGCGCATGCGTGCCGTTGCACTCGCACACAAGCTAGGCGAGGTGGCAGAGGTGTACCAGCGAGGTCCAGAGGAGACAGAGGAATTCTTGACGTTCGCCGTGGAGGAGGTCTTGCGGGTCATCAAGGACGGAGAAGCGGGCATCGAAGTGGAGGGAAAGGGGAAGGAGCGGGCTGAGGAGGACGAAGTGGGTGCGATGCTAGCGGAGCTGGAGTTGCCGTGGTGGGTGCGGAAGGTGGACGTCGCGGCGCCGCTGGAGGCGTTGGGCCGGTTCTATGCGCGGGAGGGCAAGCCCGAGTACGTTTCCTTGCATCGAACTCTCTCTTGAATGATCATTTACGCCACTGATCAACAGCTATGCTACCACGCTCTACCTCCAAGCGATTGGGATGCTCATGAAGCCACCGAATGGGAAGGCAGGCGCGTCGACGTCTGTCGAGGACCGGTGTCGGGCTGCCCAGATCATGAACAATCTCTCCGACCTCATGTCGCAAGCCAACTTGAAGGGTGCCGAATCATGGGCACGCCAGGCGCACAGTGTCATTCAGAAGACCCGCGAGTTGCCGGGATCTGCGAAAGATCCTGAGGCTATGGCACTCTGCGAGCAGACGCTTGCTGCGGCCATGTTCAATCTGGGGGCGTTGCTGGAGGTGTGTTGGTATTCCACAATGCTGATAGTTGGCGTCTGCGTTGACGGCAATGCATAATTTCACGTAGATGGGTGGCAAGATCGATGACGCGCGGAAGTCCTACCAAGAGAGTCTCGAACAAGCGAGAAGTATTGGGATGCGTGCAGGCGCTATGGAGGCTCGTGGTGCGCTGCGGAGGCTAGAGCGCGCCGCTGGTGTACAGGCTGGAGATCCCTTGTCAAGCACAGCTGTTGGGGGAGGCACGAAGACTGCTTAGTGTCTTCGCAACTATGGAGCCCGCGTACGTGCGCTTCTGTATCTCACACCGTCGGCATTTGCCGAGCCTTCCGAAGCCGCTCGCGGTAGCCAGCGGCCAGAGAGCTACCGCGGGATGCAGTCTACTCGTCCGCCAACCACCGCACTTCTACCGAGACCGCATCCGTGTCAGCGTAGCAGGTCCATGTATACGCGTCACTCTCATATTCACGACTCACATCGTTTTTTGACCAACGACTAGTATGCCAGACGACCAAACTAGACTTCACCTCAGATTCAATTCCGGTTGCAAGACTACAGCTCTAGCGACAACAAGCAGCACACTAACCAGCACGAGAGCCGAGACGCTAGACACAATGACGTGCCACAGAGCGCCGGCCCTTCGCCAGACGAGCTCAACCCCATAGGTGGACTCGGGAAGGCCGGACAGAGTCTCCTCGGATGCGTTCGAGGGGCAGGTCACGGTGTACATCAAGGGTTTCGCGGAGAGGAGGATGATTGATGGCAAGTACATCAAGCAGCGCAGCGGGGTCACTTAGAGCATCCATGTCCAAGGTGAGCTGGTGGATCACATGAGCCAGCGAGGAGAGCCGAGACAGCGATGCCTGACATTGCGTATATGGAGCGAGCATAACGCGGATGCCCTCCTGTGTGGAGACATTTTCGATAGACTGCCCTGTCGGAATGCGGTCAGGTGACGTGTCAGATTAGATTAGATTACCTTACCTTCCTGTTATAGTAGACAAGCACTGCCACCTGCCAGCGCTGTAGACAGTGCTGGCTTCGCTCCTTCCTTTCCTCAGTCAGTGATCTTCCCACTAGACTGAGGTATGTTCATCTTCTATTCCCATACTATACTGTACTCATATGGTTCTTAGAGTCCTCTGTACAGGTATAGTCCTAATACAGTCAGTGATCTTCCCACTAGACTGAGAGTCCTCTGTACAGGATCTCTTAGGTTATGAGCCCTGGCTCCTGCAGCTGAGTTCTTACTCCTCATCACACCACCACTCCCCTGTGTCCAACTCAGAGTTGCACACATACTACCAGGTGTACGACTTTGAGTCCACCCTGCTCCCCATCTCTTGTGCCAGCACAC